GAACCGCCGACCGTTTTGCCCCGCGGTCCGTGGCTGGCTTTATCCCAAGCGCCGATCATAGGCTTGCGAATTCGGCACAGCAAGACGTAGCAAAAGTTCAGGAGAGCGATTGGCCTCAAACCTCCATCCTCCTTATCTAAGAGGCAAATCATATTGAGCAACTCCTGAAAGGGCACCGCCGCTTGAGATTCCATATCAGTGAGAATGGCTGCGAGCGCAGCGAAACACTCAGGAATACCATCCTTGACCAGGCGAGGAGGCAAGCCGTCGAAACCACGTCCCCGTCTGTCGGGCACCGAACGCAGAGCAGCTCTCACCTGGCCAGCAGTGATGGGAGCCATCGGCTCAGACTGGAGAGCCGCACGCCGCCACGAGGCAAGAGCAGAGAGGGCCTCAGGGCGACTGTGGGTGCTCCGAATCTGGTGCCAGGCTTCACCTTCCCCCTCCAGAAGCTCCGAAGGGGTCGCTGCGGGATGGCCCTCGTCGGTTCCTTGAGGAGCCTGTGGGCAGGGGCCGTGGACTTCTGCAAAGCTTCACCGAGCCAGACCTTCCAACGACTACGGGCCGCATTTGCAGCGACGACGGCCGCTCTCTTGCCCTTCGCCTCGGCCTCCTCGCAGCACCGCTGTAAAGACTCAGCAGTAAGCTCGCGGAGGCGCCGAAGCCGATCGATCCACCTCGAAAGCGCAACCGCCTCCACGGCATCAGATGGGTCGAGAGCTTCGGGCGGGGCAAGGGCCTCAAGAGCGCGGACCTGGCTCCAAAACTGAGCCGAGACAGAAGGGAGGGGCTCCATGGGTTCCTCCGAGTTCGCACCAGGGTCGACCAGACGCATCAGAAAAGCCAACTGAGAAGCATGTGACTGCCAAAAACGGGCATGCCTGTCAGCTAGCGGCGGCCCCTCGGAGGCCTTGGGAGCCAACGGGACCTTCCTAGTACGAGGAGCCTGGCACCCACCTACATACTGGGGCCACTCACTTTCGGGGATCCCTTTTTCCTGCACAGGTAACGAGCTCGAGCGCGCACGCCCAGACAGAGAGAGAGAGAGAGAGAGAAAAAGAAAGAGAAAGAGAGAGAGAGAGAGAGAGAGAGAGAGAGAGAGAGCGGCCAAGGCCCATGGATACCTGGATGGCGTCGCGCTTCTCGCTGGCCAACTTGGCAAGAGGAAGATTCGACCAGAAACGTGCCGGCTTCGAATCGATCAGAGTCATGGCACGCTGCGCCGCCGAGTCCCAGTCGAGCTGCCACGCCCTGCTGAGATCAGACGCGACGTCGAGCGCCCTGGGCTCCATCACACGGAGCCCTTCAATCAGCCCGGGCTCAGCCTTCAGCTCGAACTTCACAGCCAAGTGGGTGCCCCAGGGGGCCGTCGAGTCCACGCCGTCGAACCGCGCAGCCTGCAGGAAACCGCTGCTCACGAGCCCGAAATCGATCTTGCTGGCAGCGCCCCTGCCACCGGTGTAAGTGACTTTCAAGTCCGAAGGGATCTCGCTCGAGCCCCATCTGCTGAGGAACTTCACATTGGCGATATCGTCGACCGAATTCTGCCAATCACCGATGAGCACAACGGGCCCAGCAACCTGGCTGATCCGAGCCCCGTGCTGGGACAGTACGCGCATGTTCCTGCCATTGAGGCCTGCGCCCGAAACGACGTAGACGGGGGCGAAGGTGACCACCACGTGCCTCAAGCGCAGCGTCGCCACACACCAGCGCGAACACGCACTCCTTGACCAGCCTCCATCTGCCTCGAGCGAGAGGCTCGAAAGGCCCAAGTGGGAGCGGGCCAACACAGCCACACCAGCAGAGGACGAATCAGTGTCCGTGCCATCAGCAGAGCCAACCACCGCCTTCCACCCGAGGCGATGCATGGTCTTTTGCATCTTGGTCAAACCAGACCCGAGAGCACGGGTCTCGACAAAGAAGACAATGTCTGCGGAGGCCTCAGCAAGCCAACGTTCGGCTTTCGGACCCCACTGAGAGATATTACCGTAAGTGATCTTCAGGGTCTTGGGAGGGGAATTGGGCGCCTTCTTGGGCTGCGACGCCTTCAGGGCCAAAAGGGCGGGAACGTTGGTTTGATCACAGCGCTGCTCGCGCAGAATGACCTGAGCCTCCCTGCTAGGAATCCTGCGTGCCACTGCCCTTGGCCCCCCCAGCTCCCCTCCTGGCGGCCTCGTCGAGCTCCTGACGAGCGGCGGCCCGCGCAACCCTCGCCTCGCCGGCCTCGCGGGCGGCCCGAAGGGCGGGGTCCCCCACCTGCGCGGGCGGTGGCTCCGCGGCTGCCGCTGCGCCACTGGGCGCTGCAGCCGCGGCGGGCTCAGGAGCCGACGGGCGGCCGTCACCAGGGGCTGGGGGCGCCGCAGCGGCCTGGCCCTCTGGCCCTTCCTCCCTTCCTCTCCTTCTTGAGCTGCTCGAACTTCTCAGAGCGCTCCTTTTTGATCTTCTGGGCCTCATCACGAGCATGCGTGACAGCTGTACTGAGCAAAGCACTGGCACGCTCGACACATTCCTTTGAGAAATCCTCCAGCTGCTTGCGCCCCTCGTCGGAGTAGAAGTCGCCAGACAAGCCGAGCTCCTCACCCAAGTCAAGAGAGAGCGACGAGGGATCCGCCAAAAGAGCTCCGATGTGGACAACCGACTTCTTGGCCGAGGGCTCCTCGGGGGGGAACGCGCGCTGCGCCAGGCGGCGCGCAGCTTCCTCGACCTCCTTCTTAGCTTTGAGATCTCCCTGCATGGCGTCATCAACCTTCTTCCCAGCTTCCGCCAACATCTTTTGGACACGGACCTGATTATGCAGGGCTTGCTGGGGCCTGTTCGCGGTCGCGCGCTGACGGCCCTCAGCCGCCTGCACCTCGTTCGCGTGGCCCTGCCTGTGGACGTGAGGCGAAGGCTTCTGGATGCCGAACTCGTCGAGGAGGGCGCGGGCCTTGTCAGGCGGTAGGTCGGCAGCGAACTTCTGCATAAAGGCGAGCTGGGACGAGGCAAGCCCAGCGGACTTAGGCAAGCTGCCTCCGCCCCCCGCGTTGCCACCTCCACCGCCTCCGGGCTGCGCGCCACCTCCCATGGCTGCGTCGCTCGCAGGCGCGAGCGCGGCCATGCACCCGATGCAGTGGCCACGCTTGCGAAGAAGACGATCGTAAGTCCAATGGCCGCACGTGCAGAACGTGTAGGGCTCCTTCTTGCAGCGGCGCCCGAGGACTGGCGCCCACGCACCTCCTGGCGGGGGCGCTGGAACACCTCCACGCACCAACGGGTTGAACGAGAAGCCGCCCTGCGGAGCCATGCCACAACAGTGCCGAGCGGGAGACGCGTGTTCGAGTGGACGAGCCGCGGCGACTGCTGGCGCGGACCAGCAGGCGCCAAGCAATTAGCCACTGACGCAAGAATCGCATGCTCCGCTGGGAGGTTCTGCGGCTGGAAGTCGAGAATGCGGCTCATTTGCACAACAAATGCGCAAGGGTTGATGTTCTTGGCGATCGCCGTTAGCTGTTCGCGGACCTGGCGCGTGAATTGAGGAAGCTGCCCCCCAACACTGCGACGAACAAAATTTACGTGGCGCTCGTTCTCCCACGCGGTGCTTGGCTTCCCAAGGCTGTAAGCCGTCGTGCAGATGATGAACATGGTGAGGTACTTGAGCTCTTTGATCATGTCCTCCGCCGTGGCGCCACCTGTCCCGATGTACGCGGCAGCCTGGGCGATGGTTCCCCTCTGGGCGCAGTTTGCAGGCTCCGCTGTCGCGATGAAGTCTCCAGTGCTCATGGCGCCGCAGGCCACCATCAGGGCGACCGTGAAAGCGACCAGGCCAGACACGTCCGTGTTCCTATACACGGACACCGCAACTGCCATCGCCACCAAATTGACCACTCCGCGATCCAGTGCAGCCGAGTAAGTCCGTGATGGTCAAGTGTTGGACTACTACCACTACTACTACGACTACGACTACGACTACGACTACGACTACGGCTACGACTACGACTACTACTATTACTACTACCACCATCACCACTACTACCACTACTACTACTACTACCACCACTACTACTACTACTACTGCTACTACTACGACTACTACTACTACTACTACTACTACGACTACTACTAAGGCTACTACTACTACTACTACTACTACTACTACTACTAGTACTACTACTACTACTACTACTACTACTGCTACTACGTACTACGTACTACGTACTACGTACTACGTACTACGTACTACGTACTACCTACTACGTACTACGTACTACGTACTACGACTACTACTACTACTACTACTACTACGAAATCTAATACTAAGAAATACTAATGCTACTCCCTGCTACTACTAATACTTCGACTACTACTACTGTTACTACTACTAGTACTGCAACTACTACTACTACTACTACTACCAGTACGACTACGACTCCTGCTACTACAACAACTAGTACAACTACGACTACGACTACGACTACAACTACGACTACGACTACGACTACTACAACAACTACTACTACTGCTCCTACTACTGTGAATACTACTACTACTGCTACTACTACTACTACTACTACTACTACTACTACTACTACTGCCTACTACTACTGTTACTACGACTACTACTGCTACTGCTACTGCTACTACTACTACTACTACTACTACTACTACTACTACTACTGCCTACTACTACTGTTACTACGACTACTACTGCTACTGTACTACGACGTCGACGACGACGACGACGACAACTACGACGACTACTACTACTACTACTACTACTACTACTAGTACTACTACTACTACTACTACTACTTCTACTACTGATACTACGACAACAACGAACCACGACTAGTCCTACTCCTACTACGACTACTGCTACTACTACTGCTACTACTACAACTACGAGATCCAGTACCAATACTAGCACTAGTACTGGTACGACGACTCGTACTACTACTACTACTACTGCTACTACTACTGCTACTACTACTACTACTACTACTACTACTACTACTACTACTACTACGAACACCACCATCTACTACTACTAATACTACTACTACTACTACTACTACTACTACTACTGCTACTACTACTACTACTACTACTGCTACTACTATTACTACGACTACGACCACGACCACGACCACGACCACGACTACGACTACGACTACGACTACGACTACTACGACTACTACGACTACTACGACTACTACGACTACTACTACTACTACTACTACTACTACTACTACTACTACTACTACTACGACTACTACGACTACTGCGAACACCACCATCTACTACTACTACTCCTACTCCTACTCCTACTTCTACTCCTACATCTTCTCCTCGCATGCTCCCTTCAGGCCTCTGCAGCGTGGCGTCCCTCGGCCGACGACATCCGCCCTTCGTGCCCGCCATAGCCGCGAGCAAGGCTCACGCGCGGCGCCCGTGGCTGCGCGCTGCCGCCGAGGCGGGCGGGCCGAACAAAAAAGGCCTGTAAGTTACAGGGCACCAGGAAGCCCCCCGCCCCCTTGAGCCAAAACCTCGGGAGGGCGAGGCCGATTTGGGGAGGGTGCCCCAGGGTTCGTGTGCCTGTTGGATGCCCTTGGTGCACCCCCAGGATGCCCTGTGTGTTCTGGCCAGTGGATGGGTCCTCCAGATTTCGTAATAAAAGGGAGGGGGTCTGGACCCTCCAAGACAAGCCATTTCAGACCTCCCCCGTGGGAGAACCCTCCAAAACATCGTCCCAAGACCCCCCAGGCCCTCCAAGATAGCCTGGAAGAGACTCCCCCCGAAATGAGACCCCCCTCCCTTGATTACGAAATCTGGAGCCTCATGCTCTTGAGGGATGCTCGTGGGCCACATGACCGAGTGCAGGACCGAGGAAGGCGGGGAGGGCGGGGCAGGACAGGCGCCGAGCCCGCTGCCCGTGCCCGCGGACACGGCAGCGCCTCCCGGGACGGGAGCCGCGCGGCTCCTCTCGCTGCCGGCTGTCCAGCGGCGCCGTGGGCCATGCGACGAGGAGGGGGAGAGCGAGGGGAGGGAAAACGAGGACGGGACGGGAGGGAACCGGAGACGCTCCTGCCGGAGGGGGGCTGCAAGTGCCCTCCTGGAGCCACTCGTGCGTCGATGCTGCGCCGAGGAAGACTCTAGCTAGAATCGAGCCGGACTCGAACTTGAGTCGAACTGCCCTGGACCTGAGGAGTCAACCAGATCCGCTGGGTGGGCTCACGAAGGTCCCCCCGAAAACAAGCGAGCACCAACTCGAGAGCTCTTGGCGCGCAGGGCCTCAGGAGGCCTCGAGAAGGGCACGCCTTCCGCCGTGGCAAAACCTCGTTCCCGGCGAGGGGCGAGGAAGAGGAGGGAGGCGGATGGAGGATCTACTGTCAGGTCGGGCATGCCCTCCTACAGGCAGACATTGAAAGAATAATGGAAAAGTATCAAATCAAACATACTGAAACAAAGCATAAACAATAGAAACATCGTTTCCATACAATGTTGTAACTCTTTTTGCATACTCCTACTGTACAGGGATATGCCCGACTTACATAATCGGGTCACGTGCGTATTCATTGTTCTGCCGACCGGCGCGAGCCCTCACCCCCACTGTTTTGGGCGCCTGTCTCAAGCGGGTGGGGTCTCCCCAATAGGACGCATTGCCGCAAACAGTAGCATGAGGCAGAGGTCCGGAGCCAGACCCCCCCCTCTCCCTCCCCCCCTTCCGCCCAGTGTCGAAACGCCGCATACAAATAACGATGGCAAATATGCTTATGTTGTTCCCGTCGTACTGAAGGACCACATCCCAGAATTAATTTCGAGCGCCCAGAAAGGTGTCGAAACAGTGTCGAACGAGCATCGCCTCCCAGGGCCCGACACGTGAAACCTTCCAATTTCAATGTTTTCCTGGTGTTCGAAACTCTTTCTGGTGATCAAGGCTACAGTAGGTTGGAACATCATAAAAATATGCATGCAATCGATGCCAATCAAAGACCCAGCAACACGCAGGCCTCGGTATCGCGAGGGGGGCGGGGCTAGGCAGGGCAGCTCCTCGCTGGGCCGCGACCGCGCGATGGGGTGCTCCGACAGGGACGTGGGGTGGGGGCGTGCGGGCGCTGCCGCTGGGGCTTTTGGCGGAGCTCCCCCTGGGCCACGCAGCGTGTGAGGGGTGTGCGGAATGTTGGGCTCCACTCGAGCGCAGCGGCTGGGGCCTTCGGCGGAGCTCCCTATGTGGCCACAAAGCGTGTGAAGAGTGCGCAGAAAGGGCGGGAGAACGCAATCGGGCGCTGCCACTGGGCCACGAGACGTGTATGGGTGTGCCAGGCTGGGCCTGGGGACGCACGCGTGCGCTGCCACCGGGGCCTTCGGTGGAAAGCCGTATGGAGCCTCGCCGCGTGTGATAGGGTATACCAGACTGCGTCCGGGGACGCATGCGGGCGCTGCCACTCGGGCCGTCGGTCGAGTTCCTTACGGGGCCGCGGAACGTGTGAGGGGTGTGCTAGACTGGGCATGGAGGAGCATGGGGGCACTGCCATTGGGGCCTCCAATGGAGCTACTGGGACTCGAAGCGGGTGATGGGAGTGCTAGACTGGGCCTGGGCACGCCTGCGGGCGCTGCCGCTGGGGCCTTCGGTGGCAGCCCCCATAGGTCAACAAAGCGTGTAACAGGTGTACCAGACTGGGCCTGGGGACGCACGTGGGCCCTGCCACTGGGGCACTCGGTGACAATCCCCATGGAGCAACAGAGCGTGTGAACTGTATGCCTGACTGTGCCTGGGGAAGCATGCGGGCCCTGCCACTGGGGCCTTCGGAGAAATCCCCTATGGTGCCACGACGCGTATGATGGGTGTGCCGAAATAGGCCTGGGGACGCATACGCGGGCTGGCAGTGGGGCCTTCGGCGGAGCTCCGCACGGGGCCACGAAAGGTGTATGGGGGTGTGCCGAGGTGGGCATGGGAACGCCTGCGGGCGCTGCCACTGGGGCCTTCGGTGAGGCTCCCTGTGAGGCCACGAAGCGCGTGAGGGATGTGTTGCAGCAGAGGCGCGCGGAGGGCAGAGGCATAGATTCGAGGAGGGAGGAGAAGGAGGAGGAAGGTGGATGAGGCGGAGGAAGAGGACGCGAGGGAGGGAGGGCGTGGTGCTGCGGATTCAAAACAACGACCCAGCACCACGCGATGGCTGGGAAAACATGCTTGCAGGTCCGCGCCAGCTGCCTGGATCGGTGCTGGACCCCGTCGCTGGCGCACGGAGCGCGGCGGGGGCGGCACCAGCGGCGCCACCGAGGGGCTCCAGCGCCGCCAAGTGGCTTGAGTCCCTTTGGGGCCACGAAACGTGCGAGGGGCGCGCCGAAATCGGTGCGATGGTAGCACGCGAACGCAGCCACCAGGGTCTTCGGCGAAGCTCCCCATGGGGCCACGAAGCGTGCGAGGGGTGTTCCGAATTGGGCGCGGAGGTGGCATGCGAGCGCAATCACTGGGGCCTTCGGTGGAGTTCCATATGGGATCACGAACGGGCGACGGGTGTGCCGGAATAGGGGCCAGTTTGGGCATGCGAGCGCAGCCACTGAAGCATTCGGCGGAGCTCCTTATGTGGCCACGAAACGTGTGAGGGGTGTGCCAAATAGGGCGCGGTGGTGGCCTGTGAGCGCAGCCGCTGGGGCTTTCGGTGGGCCCCCCCTATGGGCCACGAAACGCATGAGGGGTATGACGCATTGGGCGAGGTTTGACATGCGGACGCAGCCACTGGGACCTTCGGCGTAGCTCCCCATGGGGCCACAAAACACGCCACGAAACGTGTGAGGGGCGTGCCCCAATGGGTGTGGTGGTGGCATGCGGCCGCAGCCACTGGAGCCTTCAGTAGAGAACCCCATGGGGCCACGAAACGGCTGAGGGGTGTCACGACATGATGATGGCAATCGTGGTGATGGTGCTGACACTGATGATGGTGACGAGGACTACATAGGGCGGAGGGGGCGGAAGCAAAGGTAATTAGGAGGACGGAGGAGAGAGAGAGTAGAGTAGGAAGAAACTCCAAGTGAAGACCCGACACCACGGGAACAACAACCGCACGGCAGATTCGTGTTGATCGATCAGCCTGGCACGATCGGCGGCTGCTTGATCGCCAGACCGTTCGTTCCGTTTGGCCAGTTCGAGGCCCCCTGGCGGCGCTCATGGAGGCCTCCTAGATGCGGTCAGAGTAGATGGGGTCGGGGGATCGCGCCGCCTTGCCGCCACATCGGCGATGCATAGGCGATGCATCGGCGATGCACCGGCGACGCGTCGGCGACGCGTCGGTGATGCCTCGGCGCCGTCGGCGTGGAGAAAGTCGGGCTCCACGTGGAGCCGCATCGCCGATGCATCGCCGATGCGGCGCGATCCTGCGACCCCATCCGCTCGGACCCCATCCGGGAGGCCTAGAAGCTCTGCTCGGCCTCCCGTGGGAGCCCACGGAGGCCACCTCGAGTCGCGCTGGGCGACCCCACGGGCCCCTGCAGCCGCTCAGTGCACTGCCCTCCCCCAGACACTCCCAGACTTCCGCGCATCGCACACACGTAGACAGACCGACGCATCTTACGTAGCGCCCCGCAGTTGCGGATAAGAGTGAGGGGGCGGCGGGGACGTCTGCGGTCTGCGAGGGTCTGACAGAGCCCGCCGCAGGCGACTAATTTGTATAAATCAGGCAACGGGCCCGCCGCAGGCGCCGATGTTTCGTTCAAGCCATGTGGATGGGTCGCGGGGTGGGTCGGGGGTGGGTCGCCGGTGGGTCGCGGGTGGGTCACGGGACGGGTCGCGGGTGGGTCGCGGGTGGGTCGCGAGCGGGTCGCGGGGTGGGTCGCGGGCGGGTCGCGGGCGGGTCGCGGGCGGGTCGCGGGTGGGTCGCGGGTGGGTCGCAGGTGGGTCGCGTCGCGGGGTGGATCGCGGGGGAGACGACGCCAAACAACAACAACTACCACAACAACAACAACACCAACACCAACACCAACACCAACACCAACACCAACAACACCACCAACAACAACAAAAATGACAACAGCAACAACAATAATTACAACAACACCACTAAAAACCACAACAACAACAACACCAACAACAACAACGACAACAACAACAACAACAACAACAACAACAACGACAACGACAACAACAACAATAACAACAACAACAACAACAACAACAACAACAACAACAACAACAACAACAATTACTAGCACGTGGGGACACTCCGTTCTCACCAGTGCCAGGGTTTTCATAGGAGGCGGGCAATACCCCCACTTTGTGGGGGGGCCGGTTCAAGCTCTACCAAATTTCCAAACGACTCTTCGCCACCACCCACACCCAGCTTCCCGCCCTATGACGTTCGGACACTTCACTTCGTGGCATGCGGACGACCGTGGCTACTATTCAGGGCCCCGCGGCCGACGACGACGGCGTGCGCGCGCGAAGAAAAAACGAATGTGTCCCGCATGGTATTATTTGACAGGGATGATGGCCCTGGCAGGTGCGCAACCGTTGTCGCAGAAGTTCGAAAAAGTTGCTCGCAAAAGCCCGTTTGACAGAAATGTTTAAAAAGTGTTGGGTTTCCTACGAATCCGCAAGAGCGCGCGGGATGAGATTTTGACAATTTTTTGTTGAAAAACCATTGGTTTTTTGATGTTTTTATGTTAAAATCGCTGCGAACACTAAGGTTTTGGAAGGATTTCGTCTTGCGCGCGCGAATGTCCACTTTACCTTATTTTTTGCAAGGGATTCTTGAAATTTGATTATATTAGAACAAGAAATGTCATTTTCTATTGTTTTTTGCAAGGGAAAGCGGATTACAACAAAACAACCGGATCCTGTACACACCCTCTTTTCTGAGGCTTCCTCACGAAAATGATGAAAATGTAGCTGCGGCCTAGGCGGCGCAGGGGGGGGCGCGCACCAGGGGGCCCAACAATAATTATTCTTTAGAATAAATAATGTTCAACAACACCAACAACAACAACACAAACATTAACCACACCAACAACAACATACACGACAACAACACCAACAACAACAACAACAACAACAATAACAACTACAGACAACAACAACAATCCGCATCGCGGAGTCCCACTTCAGCCACGCACCCAGGGACAATAAATGACCGTTCGGCCCCCTTAACCTGACCTCGTGGCCATTCACGGGCCCAAGGGTTTGAAAGCGGCCCTCGACAAGAAGGAGCACGCCCAGGCCAGCGCCGTGTCACACACACACACACACACACACACACACACACGTACACACACACACACACACACGTACACACACACACACACACGTACACACACACATACACACACTTTTTTTTACCATCCAGAGAGCGCCCAGTGGCAGGGGGGGAGGGAACGACGACGAGGACGACGCGAGCCCGCGCGCGTGGGGGGGGGGGGGGAGGCGCGCGCGGCCCGCGCGCGCGCGCTCAGCCGCCCGCCGGGCCCGCGCGGCGGCCCGGGGGGCGGCAGAGTCGCCGCCGCGCTCGGCCGCCGCAGAGGCCAGCAGCCGCGGGCGCGGCAGCGCGAGCGGAGCTCAGCGCCCGGCGCGGGCTGGCGGGCTGGCGCCCAAACAGGCCGACAGGCTCAGAATCCACACACACACACACTCACACGCACACACACACACACACACACACGCACACGCACACACACAAACTAACAAACACGCACGCACGCACGCACACACACGAGGCGGCCTCGCGCGCAGCGACGAGACGGAGACACGCGCGCGAGGCCGCCTCGCGTGTGGCGCGCACGGCGGCTGGGCCCTTACCGTCGCTCAGGCTGTAAGCCTGCCGGCATCGGCCATCTGGGCATAGCTGGCAGGGAGGGGGCACGCGAGACCGCGGGAGAGACAAACCACAGCCGCACGAGAGCCGGAGAACGCCATGAACTGCCCGGACATGAGCAACCAGGAGAACGCTGCACACCAGCGAGGCTGACACACACACACACACACACACTCTCTCTCTCACGCAAACGCGCACACGCACCAACAAGACTTAACCATCGAAGGCGTCGGAGGCCTGAGTCAGTCCCTCCCGGCGGGCCTTGCCGAAGAGGTACACGCGAGGAGGAGACGCGCGGTCGTCCTCGAAGGCGTCGATGAGGTAGAACCTGCGGGGTGCCCGTCGCACCCGGCACGCCGGCACTCGCCATCGCCCGGACGCCCATTGTTCTGTCCCTTTTTGGGCTTCGTGCGTTCGCGTCTTCGCAAGACGATCCAAGATGCTCCTCGATGGTCGCCGCCTAAGAAAAGGCCCACGTCCGAGCGATGCCAAGGAAAAAAGGACGGCCTCCTTGCTTCCTCCTCCTCCTCCTCCTCCTCCTCCTCCTCGTGTGCGTCCGCTCTCCGTGGGCCACTGTCGTTGCAGTGGATGCCACGGCCTGGCTCCTTCGCCCACGAGCCCGCCGTGCTCTCTTAGATACGTTGGAGGTGGATGAGCGGGAAGGGGATTGGCAAGGCACTCCGTCCAAGCTTTGCATCTCGAGGCGCAGAGACGTGGCCTTGCCTCCTCCAGGCACCCTTTCGTTCGAACTTGCGGCAGATGGCAGAGTTCGATCTGCATGGAAACTGTCATCTCGTCTACCCTCGAAGCAGCTTGTGCTCGAGGGTCCTGTCCAGGCGAATGCAGCAGTACATTTTCCACGATGACAGGGGTCATGATTCAGGTTGGGGGGCGAAGTTTGCATAGTAGCTCATCAGGTTCACACCAAGCATCAGATGTGGGCTGGGACCTTCATGCTCGAAGATTCCGCTCGACTTCTGGGCCCACGGCCACGACAAATGGTCGCCATGTCGTCCGCGAGTGCTCCGACGAAGGCCCACACTCCAGTGTTCACATGGCGACCCCGCCTCATTTCGCCACACCCTCACACGCTTCGTGGCCCCATGGAGAGCCCCAGCTAAGGCCCGAAAGCCAGGACTTGCATGGCGGCCCCGCCTCTTCTTGGCCCTCCCCAAACACGCTTCACTAAGGCCCAAATGCCAAGGCCTGCATGGTGGCGCCGCCACCATCTCTGTGCACCTCTCACATATGCCGTGGCTCCATAGGGAGTTCCAACCCGAAGGCCCAAACTCCAAGATTCGCCATGCTCGCCGCACCGCTCACTCGCTTCGTGGCCCCCCCATATAAGAGGCTCCAACTGAGGCCCAAGTGCCAGGGTCCAGGTGACTGCCCCCTCATTCCGCCACACCCCTCACACGTTCGGATGGGCCGCCTAAGGTTCAGGCGGTTCCGCTCGACCTCCGCGGCGGCCTCCAGGCGATCGATGGCATTGCACGAAACTGCGGGGCCCTTGGGGGGGTCCACGTGAGGAAGGAAGTTGCGTATCTCCACGGCCCCGCGCATTGTGGGGGGTCTCCTGTGCTGGTCTGGGCCGAAAAGGCCAAGGGCACCACCGTTCTTGTTGAACGCGCGGGTTTGGTGGCAGAGGTACGATTGGGTGCGTGCTCGATGGATAGCGACGGCTCGTCAGGCACATGAGGTGCGGAGCGCGGATTCGAAGCTGGGGGGCAAGGATTGATCAAGTGGGTGTCACGATCGGGGATACCGTCAACGACGCTGAGCTTGACGCCCCACGCATGGACGAGGCAGCGGCGACACATCCGCGCGGCGTGCCAGATGCGGTTGCTCCGGGCGACGGCACGGGGTCCTCCCACGCAGGGGGGGCCACCCGCGCGTGCCTGCCGCGACTCCACGGCAGCCTCCCGCGCAGAACAGCCCAGCGCTGGCGCACCTGCCTGCCAGGAAAGAGGATCGGGCCGGGCGAAAGGGGGGGTAGCAAAGGGGGGGATTTGAGAATCAGCTCACGTAGCTGATTCTCCCGGCGCCTCCCGGCGCCGGGAGGCGCCCATGCATCGAGGAATGGGCCCGGCGGCGGGGCCGAAACCAGCTGCATGCAGCAGATTTCGTAATCCCCCCTTTCCCTATCCCCCCCTTTCGCTCGGCCCGAGAGGAGGGGCCCCGGGGGGTCACCCGTCGCACGTGGCGGAGGCGGTCAGGGGTAAGGTAGGAGGAGGAGGAGGAGGAGGAGGAGGAGGAGGAGGAGGAGGAGGAGGAGGAGGAGGAGCAGGAGCAGGAGCAGGAGCAGGAGGAGGAGGAGGAGGAGGAGGAGGAAGAGGAGCAGGGGGCCTGGGGGGGTTCCTGACGAGTGAGAGGGCCTGCGCCTGCTCGTGGAGGGGGGTCGTCGGGGAACACTCGGTGGCCCTGCTTCTCGGCCACGCGCGCCCGGCATTGGCCGCACAGCCATGTGCAGTCAAACGCGTTGGCATGCGCCTGCAAGCGATTCTGGGCAAGATACGAGCGGATATTGTCGTCGAGCCAAATGCCCTCCGTGTGTTTGAGGTAGGCCTTGTAGCAGCGGCCGCACTTGTACCTGGCCGTCTCTCGATCGGCGCTGAAGCGGGTGTCACCAGGGGCCAGGTAGCAGAGGGGTCTTGGTCACGCTGGGGAGTGGAGCGGGCGGCAGCGCCCTGCCCAGGGGGATGAGCCCGAACGAGAAGCCCCCGCTGAGGAAGGACAGTTCTGAGGGGCCGGCGTCGGGTCCTAAGCCGTTGTCGCTGCCTGTGAGGTCGCGGTGTAAGAGGCAGATGCTGCTTTCAGACCGCGTGAGGATGCCAATGTTGGCAGGCTTCACGATCTCCTCCAAGACCAGCATTGGGGCCTTTGGCTTGACGGGGAACTTTTCCATCTCGGCGTCGGTAGTGGGGCAGTGGGCCTCCTTAGCGGTGGAGTGGTGATGGGCGGTGACCACGAGTTTGCCCACAAGGGCGATCAGGCCCTCCAGCCGGCCGCGCAGACGACGGAGGTCCGTGAGCGAGAGCACCCAGGAGGCCGCGAACTTGGAGCGGAAGTGGTGGTGGTCGTTTTGCCAGGGGCAGCAGACACCCAGGACGGCCTCAAGCGTGTCCCCAGACCCGGAGGGGTCAGGGAAAGGGCCAGAGGAGAGCCCGCGGCTCGCGTTTTTGTTCCATCCAGCCAGAGGCAGAGTTGAACTCTCCGCGCCGTGCGCGGGGCCGGGGAGCACCGGTGCGAGGGTCACTAACGGCGCACCGCCGGGCAGTCCCCACTCGCACCGCGCCCCCCGCTGGGAAGACAAACCCACGCCTGTACTACCGCCCACGGTTTATCGCAAGGCCTTCTTCTGGGCCAGCTGTGTCTGGGCAAGCTTTGAGGAACCTGGTGGCAGGCCTTGCTGTAACCTCCTCAATTGTAGCTTGCCATAAGCATTCAGCTTGGTCGTACAAGGACCAGCTAATTTCCTGACGGCCTGAGTGGCTACACAGCCACAAGAAAGACATACCGTGCTCCCGAACTCCTTGTGATAAGCCAAGGTGTGGGAGCTATGCAGGTCTTTGCCGTTCACGGTGCTCTTAGTTGGCACCATGATCATACCCCTGAAAAGGCCCTGGTGGCATGGGGTGGCCAAAAACTTGTCGGCCATCTTGTATGGCGCGCAACCTCCACAGCAGTGACAGCGGACCTGGGAACCTATCCCCCAAACAGGCTGGTGAGCAGTCAAGAGCAGCTGGATTTTGATCTCCCTCCTCTTCGGCCGCAAGGCCGATTCTCTAGGAGCACGGAAACCATCGGCCTCGATGGAGGCCATCAAACTGTGACCGAGGTGCTGGCGGACCTGGAAAGCAATCGCCTGGGCGTGGGACCTGGTGTCCCTGACTGCGTGCGAAACTCTAATATCCTTAGCCCACTGGTCCGCTATTCGGTCAGCGAGATCATTCAACAGAAAAAACAAGGGGTCGGTTCCCTGGTCGCTGACTTCTTCTACCTTACGGTGGCTTTCAACCTTGGCTAGCACCACAGATCTGTTCGGATGCTCAGCCATCAAAAGTTTGACAGCCTGCCACACGTCAAGATGAGACTTGGGGTCTATCCCCATTCGGACTTTGCTGAAATTCTTAACCACATAGCTCGAGTCCGTCACAAAAAAGGCATCCGCAACAGGGAGGACAGCTTTGAGAAACTGCAGGAAACTGAGAGCTTCCCCCCTGTTGACCGACTGCCTCCATCCAGGCACATTCCCAAACATGACTGTCTGGGCCTGGAGCTCACTAGGGTCATAAACACACCCCTCACATGCCCTGGAAAACAACCCAAGACCAGGCAACTCTACGGAGGGCTGGGTCCTGGGTGTCAGGCCCCCCGCTGGCATCTCCTCCACCGAAAACGAAACCATCCACCACCGCCTCCCTCAAGTCACCCCCGTAGGTCTGGAACTCCTCACCGTCGGGGGGAGGGGGCACGGCGGTCCAGCTGCTAGGCGTCAGCCCCCGCAGCCAGAAGCTGGGATTACTCTCGCAATCAGCTAAAGCTCGTCTCCGAACGAAATCAGAGACCTTAGAGAAATCATTATTCTTCGGGCAGCTCCAAGCCCTGTGCAAATCACACTCGACCAACTCCCCACATCTTTTGCAGGAGCTGTCCTGAGTGAGCCCACAATCTTGGAGCCTCGCGCGTGGCCAACTATTGCCCATGGCCACAGCCCGCAAGATGCCCCTCCATTCAAACTTACCCTTCCTAGCAAGCGTGCGGAGCTGCCTCTTAAAGTCTGTGAGGTCTGGGACCTGCTCTAGCCCAGCCCCGTTCCACGAGTTCACAGCAGCAGCTTCCCAGAGCTGCCGTTCTTTGCTCTGGGCCAGAGCTTCAAACAGGTCAGCTAGATCAACCTTGCCTTGCCCGAGCTTGGTTTCTGAAATCGCGAACCGCTCACCCAGGTCGCTCTCCCAGGCCCAAGGACCCCAAGGTTTCCAGCCCACGTCCAGCAGAGTGGCAATCGTGGCAGCGACAGGAGTGCCTATGCTTCGCCATCTTTTTCCTGCTGGCTTGGGCTCAAGCTCGGCAAGGACTTTCCTCCAGACCCTTCGGGTCTTGTCAGCATCAAAACTGCTGTGGGTCAAAATCTGAAACCAGGCCTCGATCGTGTCAAACATCGCGAAAAAGGCTGGGTCACGTCTGCCGTACTCCAGCGCTAGCAGAGTGGTCAGGCACCTCCCTCCTTTCGCGACACCCCCCGTGAGCCCCCCAAGAGCCCGCCTCCAACCAAGAACGACGGAGGGAGGTGTACCATGGACCTTATCCGAGTACCTAGTCTTGGAA